CCGCGGGCGCATATCGAAATCCTTCCGCAACCTTCATCGCCGACGCGTGGTCAGCATCATCGCCACAAGCGTGATCAGCATATGCGCCGTCATTGGCCTTGTCGTCGTCGTCGCCGTCGTTACCGGCATCGCTACTATCATCACCGTGTCTGCCGTTGCCACCGTGGCCATGATGCCGCGCCCGCAAGCGTCGCCGACGCTCGCTGGAGTGCCCGCGCGGCCAGCGCCAATGCGGGGGCGTCGGTCGCGCCCGACTTGCTGGCCGCCCTGCGCGCGAGCACGCGCGCGCTCGCGCGGCCGCTGCGATGTGCCAGCCAGCGCCGAGCAGTCGTCGCAATCGTCGCTGCAAGGGTGCAAACAAGGTTGCGGGCGGGTGGGTGGCGCGATTGAGTGAGCAGCGGAGTTGGCGACCTCGAATCCGGCAGGGTGAATTCTTTCTGTTACAGGGGTGACACGGTCACCCCCCCCCCACTGGGCCTATGGCCTATCCGCCCCCCCTGGGGATTTGCACTTCGCATATGACTCTGCCCCGTTGCCCGCCCTAAATGGGCATTCGCGCCACCCCAGACAGGCCGGCGCACGCACCCTCCCCTTCCTTGGCAACAACTTGTTATGCGCGCGCACTCGTCTATCAAAAACCGTCAGTTCCCTGCAGGGAAATGTGGCGACTTGCGAGCGTGCGCGTCGTCGCGCGCGCATGACAAAATCGCTTAAACACGAGATTTCGCAAGGATTGCAAAATCGAGGGCCACGGATACATAGAACGCACATTTGGTTGTGCTGCGCGGCTTTTTTCAAAGAAGCTGGCGCTCGCGCGCTCGCAGAGTCTTATGAAGCCATTGATTGTTTCAGCATGTTCACAACGTGCTTCTAAACTGCTTCTCGCGCGCGCGAATGTCGAGATCGTTCGAGCGACCTTGCGCGCGCGCTGTCGCGAGAACCATTTGCACAAAACTGGGCAAAGTGCACGCGCGCGCGTCGTCGCTCCCGCGCGCCGTAATCTCTCAAAACCTTAAGTTGTCGCGGGGATTTCAAAAACGAGCGCCCCGAAAACATATAGACACATCGTGGTTGGGCAAAATCATGTTCAAGAACAGCCTGCGCGCGCCCTTGCGAAGTCATAAGAATGCCATCGGTTTTCCAACATGATCATCAAAGTGTGTCAAACAGGTCTCCGGCGCCGCATGTCGAACCCATTCGGGCGCCCTTGCGCGCCCCTTCGACGAGGGGGGCGCGGTCCGCGACGCATAATGCCGCGCGGGCAACTCGCGCGCGTCGGCCACGCGCGCATATTGAACTCCTTCCAAAGCCTTCGTCATCGACGCGGGAACATGGTCATTGTTATCGGCGGGCGTGGCCAGACGGGCCGCCGCATGGGTTTCGCAAGCCAAGTTGCGGGTGGGTGGGTGAGATGATTGCGCGAGCAGTGGAGTAAACATATCACTGCGACCATTGGTGACTTGCACTACGTTGAGTGCACGACGCAGAGCCCCTTCTTTTAACAAGGAATGAGGATCTACCAGCCTTTTCCCCCAGGGCTTACCAGGCACCGCTGGGGGTTAGCAGTTGCATGCAGATAATTCTGCCCATCGTTCATTCTACATACAAACTCGTGCCACCCCCGCCAGGCCGGCAATCCGCCCGACCCCCCCCCCCGCCCGCCCCCTTCACTAGTGACAACTAGCATGATGCGCGCGCACTCGTTTATCAACAATTTTCGATGTCCATGAATCCCTTGCGGGGGCGGGGCGAAGTCCACGCGCGCGCGTCGTCGCGCGCGCGTGCTGGAATTTTCCAAACGCAGACATATGAGCCCGCGAGGAGTGCAACATCGAGCGCCTCGAATCAATGCTGTAAGCCATATGTTTTTACACCATGATGTTTCAAACAAGTCTGCGCGCTCGCCCTTGCACGGTATTGAAAAGACCACAGGTGCTCAACGTTCTCATTGAATGCGAATGCAATGGCCTGTCGCGCGGGCGTGTCGAAATTGTTCGGGAGCCCCTGCGCGTTGCGGGGGGGTCGCGATCCTTTCCAAATCATGCAATGCGGGCCACTCGCGCCCGTCGGCTTCGGGCGCATGTCGAAATCCTCCAACGACCTCCGTCACCGACGTGTGGACACCATCGCCGCCATCGACGTGGTCAGCATCGGCGCCGTCATTGGCCTTGCCGTCGTCACCGTCGTCGTCGCCGCCAGCATCGCTAATGTCATCATCGTGTCTGCCGTTATCGACGTCGCCATGATGCCGCGCCCACCCGAATCACCCACTTTCATTGAAATGCCTGCGCGTCAGCGCGGCCTGCGAGACGCGCTGGCAAGTCCCCAGCGGTCAGCGCCACCACGGCGGCGTCGGTCACGCCAGACTAGTTGCATGGGTTTGCAAACCGAGTTGCGTGCGGATGGGTGGGATGATTGCGCGAGTAATTGCGCTGACAACCTCAATTTCGGCAGGGTGAAGTGCGCCACGTAGATTGCACCAGTTCCACACAAGTTGTGTAACGCAGACTGAGCAGCATAGGTTGCACCACGCGGGTTGTTGAATACTTATTGCACTACGTTGGGTGCACAATATATATATATATATATATACTGCGCCACGTATATTCTCCTTTTTTTTACTAAAGGGTACACTTTACCCCCCTCCCCCCTCCTGGCGTTATCGGTACCCCTTTCGGGTATGTAAATCACACGTGATTCTGACCACATGTCCATTTTAAATATGAAATCGCAATGTCCCAGGCCAGCCGGTATCCCACCCCCAGAGGTTCCCTTTTCTTTATAAAAACAACACAATGCGGTGACATTTTTTGTTCTAACAGAACACTTTTTTCACGAATCCCTTGCAACAAATGGGACGAAGTGCACACGCGCGCGCCGTCGCGCGCGCATGCCGAAATCTTCCAAAAACGTGCGGTGCCGGAAGGATTTCGCAATCGAGTTTCCAAAACAAATTCAAACACATGGTTTCGCAACACTGATTTGCGAAAAAACTTCCGCGCGAGCTCTTGCGAAATCTTAAGAAAACCATAGGTTTTTCAATATTTTCTTAAAATGCGCGAGCGCCCTTGCCGAAACGCCCTTGCGCGTGTGCCGTCGCGAGAATCCTCTGCAAAAAATGGGACGGAGAGCAGACGCGCGCGTCGTCGCGCGCGTGTACGCCGAAACCCTTCAAAACCTACAGTTTCCGGAAGGATTTCAAAATCGCGTGTCCAAGAAAAGCTTACAAAAACACAAGGTTACGCAACACTGATTTTGAACAAAAACGTGCGCGCGCGCTCTTGCGTCGTCGTCGTCGTCGTCGTCGCCGTCCTCCCTCCTCCCGCGTCGTCGTCGTCGTCGTCGCCTGCGTCGTCCTCTGTCTTTCCTCGTGTTCGTCGTCGTCGTCCTCTTTGGCGTCGTGGTCGTTTCCGTCGTCGTTGTCGCCGTGGTCGTCCTTCCTTCTCCCTCGTCGTCGTCGTCCGTCGTCGGCGTCTCGTCGTCGTCCCTCCTAGTTCGTCGCCGTCGTCACTTCAGATGTAGTGGTAGTTGTTGCCCCCATATATGTTGTTTTCTGGTGCCTCGTCCCTGCAACCCTCCTCTCTCTCTTGCTCTCTGAACAAGCACGTTTCCAACGGGCCGCCTAAGTGCACCGTTGCCTGTCCACGCGTCCCGTGGGATGCCTGGCATTTGCCCGAGCCTGCCTGAGCGAACATGTTTACATCTGTTTACCACGAGCACGAAGGCTGTGTTCCGACTTGGCGTCGTCGGCCGCTGCTCGACCCTCGATCGTGCTCGTTCTCGGAGATCAGGCTGGGGTCATGCAGCACCTCTCCGGAGGCCCACGTGCTTTCCTTCCCCGGAGGCAGGCCCTGCTTGCGGTTCTCTTCCCGTCACCTGGTGCCAGAGACCCTTGACGGCATGCTCTTACACAAAATATTGAGGGCAAGCAGTTGCGGAGTTCTCATGGCAAGTATTTCAAGAACATTTCTTGTGCAAGATATGTCCCTGAAGGCAAACATATTTGCCGGCAGGGATCTCACAAAACGCATATCTTGGGCCTTATATAGGGCCCTTGCTGGCCTGTCCCCAGACCGCCAGTGAGAGTCTTCCAGATATCCGTAACAGTTTCGAGGAGCCCTCCCAGAGACCCTCGAGCTCCCCACTGAGGACCTGAAGCCTCTCAGGGGCCCGCCCAGAGACCGTCAAGGAGCCCCTCGTGAGCCTCTGGAGGGCCACCGCGGGGCCCTCCAGCGGCCCCGCAGCCCTCGAGATGGCTTTGTCGGCCCCTCGAGCCTGCAGGAGCCCCTGTGCCCCATCCCCGAAGGCAGGCAGCGCAACGCAACGTCCAGCCGAGCAGCTCGGGGAGCGACTCGCCCCACAAAAGAAGCGGACATACAAATACGATTCCGCGTTCAGTATTTTCTTCCACACACGCACACACACACACACGCACCCATCGCTATTCAGCATCACGCGTGCGTTTGGCCGGCCACGCGCAGAGGGGGGTAGTGGGAGGGGGTAAGGCTTTTTCGAAGGAGCCTGCTTCTTAGAAAGCGCGGGCTCTCTCTGTAGCTGTAAGGCCAGCGCCTCCTGAGAAGCAGCCTCCTTCTGAGAAGCCTTCTAGCCCTCCCCCTGCCCTCTTGTGCGCGCCCCCATACCCATACCCCCCCCCCCTGTCAGGAGAGCCCAGAATCGAATCGATAAGTCGGATCGGCGATCGGATGAGTCGGATCGGCGGAAATCGGCAGCCGATTCGGGAAAAGTCGAATCGGCGGAAATCGGCAGGCCAGTATGCCTCCGCCTGTAAGGGGTCGGAGCCCAAATCGGAACCCCAAGCCGAACCCGAATCGGAAGCCATCGATGTCGAGTCGACTCGAATCGGAGGAATCGAGACGAGCCCTGCCCCTGTGCAGGACGGGCTCCCTGGCCGTGCCGTACCTGGGTCGCCAGCCTGTCTGCTTCGCCCCGCGGGGCGTGGCCTCGGCGTCGGCGGGCGGCGGCGGCCCCTCCGCGGCGAGGCGCAGCCCGCGCGCCACGCCCTCGGAGACGTCGGGCTCGTCGCTGGTGTCCTCGGAGACGGGCTCCTCGGGAGCTGCCCGCCTGGGGGGATCCTCGGGGCGGATGGCGCAGGGAGAGGGCTTCTCGGCCACGCGCAGAGGGGGGCACAGTGCCGTTTTTAATACATGCTCCGCGTGCAGATCATGTACTAAAAATGCAGGGATTTAGTATTAGAAAAAAACAGCGATGTATTCATAACTGCAGGGAGGGGTTGTCGGCCACGCGCAGAGGGGGGTAATGGGGGGGAGGGCGGACGGCTTCTCAGAAGCACCCCTGCTTCTGGGGAGACGCGGGCCTTCTCTACAGACGTGAGGCCGGCGCCTTCTCTAAGAGGCAGCCTCCTTCTAAGCAGCCTTCCCCCCCTCCCCCTTCCCCCTTCCCCCGTGTGCGCGCCGCCAAGATTCTGCGGGATTGCGAGGCCGATGGAGCACGAGGCCCATCAGCGCAAGGCGGGACCTCGGCTGGCAGAAAGCTGGCTTACATTGCACGGGCGCCAAGGCTGGGTGTTCCAAGTATTCGAGCGAAGCAGCCCAGTGTACTGCGACACGACACGAGGACGACGCGGAGAGAACAGAAAGATGGCATGGAGGGCGATGCTGCAGCAGCAGGTATCCGCAACCGATGTCCTGTTGCGGTGCCCGTGGCAGGGAGGGGTGTCGAGGGGGAGAGAGGAGCGCTCGCGCCATATCTGACATCTTACCCAACCCTCTCATCCCTTCCCATCGCGCTGACTTGTCTCTATCCGCGGACGCGTGATATAGCTGACCTGGAGCTACGCCAACGACCCCAACCCTTGATGCGCAATCGGAAAAGGGAAGCGTCAGAGGAGGGAGGCGGATGATGATGATGATGATGATGATGATGATGATGATGATGATGATGATGATGATGATGATGATGATGCTGATGATGATGCTGATGATGATGATGATGATGGCGATGATGATGCTGATGATGATGATGATGGTGATGCTAATGATGCTGATGATGATGACGATGCTGATGATGCTGATGCTGATGCTGATGCTGATGATGATGGTGATGACAGACAGACAGAAGCCATAGACCAACGTCGCGCGGCAAGACACAAACAACACGGAAACAACTGGCAAACACATGCTGATGATGATGGTGATGATGATGATGATGATGACGATGATTATGATGCTGATGATGCTGATGATGATGATGTTGATGATGATGATGCTGATGATGATGATGATGCTGATGAGGATGATGATGATGATGATGATGATGCTGATGATGATGATGCTGCTGCTGCTGCTGCTGCTGCTGATGATGATGATGATGATGATGATGATGATGTTGAGGAGGAAAAGGAGGAGGAGGAGGAGGAGGTTGAGGAGGAAAAGGAGGAGGAGGAGGGAGGAGAAGGAGGAGGAGGCTGAGGATGAAAAGGAGGAGGAGGATGAGAAGGGAGGAGTAGGAGGAGGAGGAGGAGGAGGAGGAGGAGGAGGAGAAGGACGGAGGAAGAGGAGAAGGGAGAGGAGGAGGAAGAGGAGGAGGAGGAGGAGGAGGCAGGAGGAGGAGGAGGAGGAGTCACGAGCAGACAGGAGCAGGCAGGAGGGATGTGGAGGGCGAGGGAGGGAGGGGAGGAGCAGGGAGGGTATGACGGGGGGGTGGGAGCCGAAGGCGACAACCGCATACGCATGAACCGTCGGAGCTCCGCGCGGCTTCCTTGGATCGCCGCTGGGCCTCCGCTGGCGGCGTCTGCGGCGCCGCCTCTGGCGCGCTCCGCGGACCAGCTAGGGGGTCTGGCGCCGATCCTCCTCCTCCTCCTCCTCCTCCTCCTCCTCCTCCTTCGACAGTGCTTGTTCATGCAGTGGTTTATTCTCCTGGGCGGGGGGGGATGCCCTCTCCCAGACGTGCCCGCGCCGCGGCACGTTCACCGCGGGAGGCTGCTGGCTGTGCTCGGCCCCCGGGTTGCCCTCGGCGGGCCCCTGTGACCGTCAGAACACGGCGCGAGATGACAATGCTGGCCCTGGGGGGAGGGTCGGACTTCCGGGGGGCCCCGTATGGAAACATCGAGGCACGGCATGTCTTGACCTCCTGCTCGATCCTGCTCGTTCCCCCTCCGTTCTCTTGCTCCCGCCTCCTTCGTGTCGTCCGTTTCCGAAGCGCCCTCCTCGCAGACCCGCACCTTGCCACATCCGATCCACAGGGGCGCCCTCGAGGGCGCGAAGTTCTTCGCGCTTCGCGGTTCGGCTCCGATTCTTCCTCGTCCTCCTCTCCTCCCCTGGGAGGCGGCGCGAGAGCGCGAAGCCATTCGCACTTCGCGCTTCGCGCAGCGCGAAGCGCGAAGTTGGGAGCCCTTGAATCCATCCACCCCACCCCAGTGGGGGGGGGATGGATGGATTCAAGGGCTCCATTCCAGTGGGGGGGGCGTCGGGGACCATTCATTTCCAGTGGGGGGGGGTCGGGGAACATTGAAAAAAAAACACACGGAACCCGTACCCCCCCCAACCCGAAATGCGGGTCACATTCGGGTCTTCGGGTTGGGTTGGGGTGGTCTGGTAGGTAGTCGCCCCCTCGCCCGCTTTCCGCTGCCGTGGAAGGGGGCGTCGTGCAGGAGCCTCCCCGCTCCCCGCCCCCCACGCTTGCCGTTTGCTGAATGGCTGGCACCGAGCGTGGGGGACGGCTGCGGCTCGGGGCAGCAGCGCCGGGAAAGGCAGCACACGACCTGCTCCTCTATCTCTCTCTATTTTTCTCTTTCTTTATTTTGTTGTTGTATATTTATATCAATCTCTCTATATCTATATATTTTTCTCTCTCTCTCTCTCTATCTCTCTTTGTCGTTTGTTTTTTTTTTTTGTTGTTTCTCTCTCTCTCTCTCTCTCTTGTCTCCCCTTCTTCACCCTGGCCTCCCCTCGTCCTTTCTTGTTTTGATAGTTCTATATGCTTATCTTAATATATTTTTCTTTCTCTCTCTCTCTCTCTTGTTTTTTTCTTTCGTTGAGACCTCTCAATATTTATCCCTCTGTCTCTATCTCTTTCTCTATGTATTTGTGTTTGTTGTATGTTCTCTCTCTCTCTCTCTCCTTCTCCACCATTACCTCATCAGTTCCCTCCAACCATCCCACATGACGAGGAGCGATCAGAGGCGCAACAGCGGACAACCTGGGGAGGAAACGCTGAGCTTGGGACCTGCATGGCACGGCCTGGCATAAACACAAACACATGTGTATGTTGATTTGTTTGCAGGTGGAGAAATTCTTTAGTTTCTCTTGCACATATTCTACATAATGAGAGAGAACCCGTGTCCCTCAATACCTGCTGTCTCTTGCGTGGCAGAATGATAATGGTAGCAACAAGATGTTTTGTTTTGCTCGCTTCGCGCTGCCCGCGTGTCAGTCAACATGTGTGCCCTAAGCCCTCGGCTCTCGCCCTCTTCGTCGATGAACGTATGGTGTTGTCTTACGCCAGCTCAGGGTAACCCTCGACAGGGTAATACAAGTGGGTGGGGCGTGCGGGCCCTGATGGGCGGATCGGGCTGCCGGGACGTTGAACCCGGTGGGCGGGTTTCCAAGCAATCGGTCCGGTGGGTTCTAACTGGCAAGTCGGGCGGGTGGACCAGACGAGCGGGGGGGCCCTAACGGGCGGGTCCGGCGGACGGACCAAAGGGCGGGTCGGGCGGGCGGTCATGACAATCGAATTGAGGACGTTGTGGGGAAGCGGGCGGGCTGCCAATCAAGCCAAGGGGCGGACCCTAGCGAAAGGGTCGGGCGGGTGGACCTTCGCGGGCGGTTCGGATGGGCGGATCTGAACTTGCGGGTCGGGCGGGTGGGACATTAAAACGTGATGTTTGAGGAAGACTCGGACGATTGCTCGAGTCCTGAATAATTTGCAAGCAATGATTTTTTGAGAGTGCAATTTTTGTGAAGGTCGAGAGCGGGTATGCTCAGGAAATTGCGACGACGTCTTGGGCGAGACTGCGAATCTTGAGTGTCGAGCGCGCGGGCGCTTGTAAATTCTCAGGAAGTCCAGGGCTAGAGTGTGAGTCTTGCGTAAACCGCAAGGATGTCTCGATGGAAAGTGCGATTCAGTAATACTTTGTCAGTGCTAGGAGGTGAAAGGCGGGAGCTGCTGCTATTGCTGTTGGTCGGAGGCCAAAAACGCAGGTTGTGCTTCAAGAGTGTCCTTGACACAGAACAGGTGGCGAGAGCCCAGGAGCGCGCTTGAGTTGGAGATGATTCTTGTATTCATTGAGCCCGTCACGTCCGTCACGGGGCGGGTCCTCCCCCGTAACAGCAACGAGCGTAGGTGGGGGAGCCGACCCCACCCTGGTATAGCGTCGTGCTCACAGGCATGGTGTGGTGTTGACAAGCATCGGAGGGTCTCCAGACGCCTGCAGAGGCCTCCAGAGACCTCCTGAGGCATCCAGAGCTTTTTTTGCAGACCTTCAGAGGCGGCCGTCGTCGTGGTCGTCGTCGTCGTCGTTCTCGTCCTCGTTCTCGTCCTGGACGTCATCGTCCTCGTCTTCGTGGTCGTCGTCGTCGTCGTCCTCGTCGTCGTCGTCATCTCCGAGGACCTCGGAGGGTCCCCACACGCCTACAGAGGCCTCCTTGGATATCTCCTGAGGCCTCCAGAGACCTCTGGAGGCCGTTGTCGTCGTCCTCGTCGTTGTCGCCCTCGTCCTCGTCCTCGTCCTTTCCTTCGGTGTCGTCGTCGTCTTCGTTCTCGTCGTCGTCGTCGTCGTCATCATCAACGTCGTCGTCGTGACCTCCTAGTGTCTCGGAGGGCCTCCAGACGCCTCCAGAGGCCTCCTGAGACCTCCTGAGGCCTCCGGAGACCTCTGGAGATTTTCAGAGGAGGCCGTCGTCGTCGTCCGGCGTCTGGCCCCCCCCCTGGGGCCAGACCACGTTACAGTTACCCCTGGGGGCCCGACACCCCCCCGTAACAGACGTTCAGGGGGGGGAGTAGAAAAACATGTTCTTGAGAAAAGCAATGATGGTCGCTTGGGGGTTACCAGGATTAGCTATTCTTGAGAATCGAGGACAATCAGAGTTCGCAGGCGCGAGCGACACCGTAAACCCGGAGCATGTGCGAGCGAAAGTGCGAGTGGGTGCTGACGAGTTCACCTGGCACAATCGCTGGAGCCATCTGATAGCACGTGGCGTTGTATCTCAGTGGTCGGGAAGATGGACCTGTTCAAGCTGAGCGCCCGCCCGCATCAAAAATCATGCAAGCTAGTGGTTGACCAGTCAGCGGACACTCCCGGTGGTGAGACCGCGCGCTGGCCCACGACTGCTAGGGTGCTTACAGTTGCGCGTCTGATCACCACTGCGGCTGCTGCCGCGAGGACTCACGCAATGTTTAAGCGCCCCGTGTCCACCACAGCAAGTCCAGGCTTTGAGCTAGCCGTTGTGTCCAGCGCTCGGCGACCTGCCATCCCTCCTCTCCATGCATTTTCCTTATACATAACTCCTCCCTGTCGCACCCCCAGACGTCGGTAGGTCGGAATGGGCGTTTCGCGTGACACCCCAACACCGCTTATGATCCTGAAGCGCGAAGATTCCAACAGTTTTCAAGGGTGGAGGGCGGGCCGTTTTCAAAATGCGGCTCTCGCCTTAGCGTCGCGCGCGCTCGTTGTTTGCAACAGTTTCAAGGATAAAGGGCGACGGGTTGTCAAAATGCGGCTCTCGCCTTTGCGTCGCGCGCGTTCGCTCAAATGTTGCAGCAGGTTTCAAAGATGGAGGGTGGCCCCTTTTCAAAACATGGCTCTCGCTTAAGCTCCGCGCACATTCGTTTTAAAAGCTTGCAGCAGTTTCAAACAATGAGAGAAGATCTGTTTCAAAATGCGGCTCTCGTTTAGGCGCCGCGCGCATTCTTTCTGCACGTTAACTACCGATCCAACTATTCGTACGACTGAAGTCCTTGGAATGGTCACGCAACAGTCACGTGGATTCGCGGCGTTGAAGTCCCAGGAATTGTTTTCTGGCACGATCTAGGACTGTCAGGGTGCAACAGTCACGTAAACTCGCTGCCTTGAAATCGTGGGAATCGTGTTTTTCAAAACTCAGGATTCTAGAACACATTTTTCACACGGGCCTATGAAGAGGGATCCGGGGGGTGGGGCTTGTTGCAACATCGTTGATGCTTTGGGTTTGTACCGGTCCATCTTCCCCTCTCCTCCTCCTCCTCGTCGCCGCTTTGCTTGATATAAATACGGCTCGCTGCCCCTGGGCCACTTCATCATGGGCGCCATCGGCGCCACCGAGGCCAGGCGCGGCCGAGCTCGCCCTCTCTCGCGAGAGGTAGGGATGGACGGACTCCCCTCCTACGCTGGTCTCCTCCTCGTCGCCGCCCCTTTCACCGTGTGGGAACGGACCTCCGGCCGCCCGCCCCGCCACCGTCCTGCGGCGTGGTGCCCGCTTTCCTGGAGCTCGCCACCAGCGCGCCCGCTCTTGCTGCCTGGCTGTCGGCGGGGGCCTGCGCTCCCTTCCCCACGGTCCTCCCCTCCCTCCTCCTCTTCCTCCTCCTCCCCCTTGCTTCTCCTCCTCTTCTTCTTCTTCCTCCTCCTCCTCCTCGTCCCCCCCCTTCGTCTCCTTCTCCTTCTCTGGCCCTCCCATCGAACCCGAGGACTGGCGATCGCTGCGCAGGGCGCAAACGTCCAGGACGCGCTCATGAGAACCCTGGAGGCCGGAGACTCCCGCCTGGCCTCCCGGCGCCCACCTTTCTGGAGGTCTCTCCTTCGGAGGTCCTCGGTGGAAGGAGGAGATGGAGGAGGACGAAGAGGGACGGAAGCGTCCTTCTGCACACCCTCCTATTAATTAGTCGTAGAGTGCGCGTCGGGATGAGGTGCAGGAGGAGGATGGGCAGGAGAAGGGGGAGGAGGGAGGGACGAGGAGCAGTCAATGGAGGAGAAGGACGAGCAGGAGGAGGAGAAGGAAGAGGAGGATGGGGAACACGTGGAGGAGGAGGATGGGCCAGGGAGCGGATTACGTACGTACGCGCCCGCCGCACGTTCTACATCACTCGGCAACCACTTCAAGGGCGTCAGCGGGGCATTGTCTCACCCCCTTTCTCTCTGTCTCTTTGACTATGTCCCTCTCTCTCTCTCTCTCTCTCGCTCTCTCGCTCTCGCTCTCTCTCTCTCTCTCTCTTTCTGTTTCTCTCTCTCTCTCTCTCTCTCTCTCTCTCTCTCTCTCTCCTTGTCGCTTTCACCATTGGCCAGTGCTGGCACGAGCTGCCAGACTCACAGGGCGGCCCCGCCCCTCTCTCGACGGTCCACCCCGGCCCGACGGCTTCGACGTCCTCGACGGTCCATGGGCGCGCCTGCTCGAGACCTTCGACGGCGAGGAGCAGGACCCGCTCCGGCCAGGCTCAAGTCGGACACGTCCCTCTACAGGAGGAATATACAAACATAGCTGTTTTCGCATTGTCTGGAAAACAAAATGCTTGGAAAACAAAAAGCTCGGGAACGGTTTTTTACCGTGACGATTTTGATAGTATTGTTGGATGTGTTGTTCTTCGTCCAAAAGCCTCCCGTCGGGGGACATGACCGACCCAAGGCCAGGCGCCTCCCTGAACGAATATGGAAGGAAACGATGCTCCCCTTTCCCGAAGTCACAGCAGAGACGGGCACAGCGATCATGACGATCACCACGTGCCATCCAAGACTTCCCAGCGATCAGGTGCAAGTCGCCCACGGTCAGCAGGGTCAGGCTGCCACTGCTAGCCGCCCTCTCCACCAGTCCCCCCCATCCCACCAGGGTACGGGGAGCAGTGAACGGCCAGTGGCCGACAGCGGAACAGGTTCGAGTGGGACGGGGACCCGGAGAGTGGAAGGCCATCGATCCATTGCGCAGCACCTCTCGGCGGCCAGGCGTTAGCCAGAGGGTGGTCGCTAGCATCAAAGCGCTCCAGCAGCTGGCACATGACTCAGCCCAATCCCTTCGGCAAATCCAGGAACAATCCGCCCCGCTGCTAGGCAGGCTCCTCCGAGCACAAGCCTCGCCAGAAAACCACGTCCCGCTTTTGCTGTCCAGTCGGGGTCCCCACAGACCGCGCCAGGGGGGGGAGGGTAGTCTCCCCACACCTGCTTCTCACCAGCGGTACCTCCCGCCTTTCGAGGTTGGACCTGGCGGGGGCTTGCACCCCGCGGGCCTGGGCAGAGTATGTTCGAACAGGTGCGCTATCTCTTCTTCTCCCTCGCTCTCATTGTCTTGTTTATTTTTTCTGTTCTCTCTCTCTCTCTCTTTCTCCTCTCTCTCCCTCTCTCTCTCTCTCCCTCTTTTCCTCTCTCTCTCTCTCTCCCTCCCTCTCTCTTGGATCCGCGACCCTGGCGCCAGTCCAGCTTCGGGATCAGTGGCCGCCGTGGTCGGGCGTATCGGCCGCCCGTCCACCACGCGCCGCAGCATCCGGAGCACATTCCTCGGTGCCCGCGCGGACGGCGACAGTCCACCAGAGCACCGCCGACAGGGCCCTCCTCCCCAAAATGCCGCAGGGAGGAGGGAGAGAGGAGAGACGAGGAGGACAAGCAAGAGGGGGCGAGGCGCGAGGCGCGAGTCGGGTGTTGTCCTTCTACAGGAGGAATGTGCAAACATAGCCCACAAATAGTACGGGGATGATGTTCCACATATGTTTTGCTAGTTTTGCACATGCTTTGACTATTTTTAGTTTTTCGTCCCAAACCGCCTGTAGGAGGACATGCCCGACCTAACGCGAGGCGCGCGCTGCGGCAGGGGCGGCTCGGCATGGAACAGGGAGGGCCGAGGGGGATGGGGTTGGCGGAGGCCGTGGTGGCCCTCGAGGTGGTCGCCGAGGTCGCGGTGGTCGTGGCAGTGGTCGTCGTGGTGGTCGCAGTGGTCGTGGTGGTGGTCGCGTCGAAGATTCTAGTCGTGGTGGTGGTGGTCGCCGCGGTTGTGCTCGTGGTGGGCGCCGTGGTCGCGGTGGTAGTGGTGGTCGTCGTGGTGGTCGCAGTGGTCGTGGCGGTGGCCGTGTGAGTGGTCGTCTTACTGGTGGTGGAAGTCGCGTCGCAGCTGGGTGGGTCCGCTTGGCTGTCCACGCCGCACTAATTACGTAAGCAGCGTCTCTCTCTCGCCTCCCCCCCTGCCGCTCTTGGCCCCGGGCTACACCATCCGCTCCGGCTTGCTCGGACTTCAGGCTCTCTCACCTCTCCTGCAACGGGAGCGCATACAGTTTGGCGTTTTTCCTCTCCCATTTCCCCTCGCTCCTGTCTCCACCCCTCTCCTTCCCGTCATCGTCCACCATTGTCCGCATCCTCCTCCTTTCCTACGGTCGGGAACGATCGTCTGGCGTGTCGCGCCACCGGTTCTGGCCCATCACGCTTCGGCGCGACACGCCAACCACGCCCTGCCCCGAGAGCGCCCACGTTCCGCGCCTTCCCCGGCCTCCCGCCCCACGGAGCGGAGCGACATGCTGTCCGCAGTCCCCAAGCGTCCACGCTCCGAGTGCTTCCCATCCCCCCGTGCCGCAGCGTGCAGGGCACAGCGTGTCGCCAGGGCCGCCGCCGCGACACGCGACTCACGAGTTCCCAACCGCAGGCCGCCAGCCTGGCATCGCAGACCGGCATCGGCAGGCGGCACACCAGGAGGTCGCTCCTGCCTCGAGGCCACTCTTGCCTGCGCGTGGCCGGATCGGGCACGCAGGCCGATCGCGCGGGCGTTCCGCTCGTGCACGGCCTCCCTGCCCTCTCGCTCTTGCTGCCGAAGTCGTCGCGTCGCGCCGAAGCGGTGGCAACCCCAGCGCGGGCGTTCCGGGTCGAACGCCAGGGCGCCGCCGCTGCGCGCGCTGAGCAAAGGTTCGTGGCCGTATCCTCCCTCGGCCCGCCACTCTACTTCAGGGGCTGCTGCTGCCGCTGCGGTCACTCCTGCAAAAGCCCCCTTCCCCGACGGTGTTGGCATCGACCACCCTGTTCGAGGACCGACTCCGCGAGAGGAGGGTAAAGGAGACGGAGGGGGAGGAGGAGGAGGAGGAGGAGGAGGAGGAGGAGGAGGAGGAGGAGGAGGAGGAGGAGGAGAAGGAGGAGGAGGAGGAGGAGGAGGAGGAGGGCGATGAACAGGACAAAGGAGGACTGTTCAAATACCGTTCAGCGGTTTTCGCAGTTCGGTTGCTCATGCATTGTCGTGGCCTGGTGTCGAATGTGCCCAGGAATGAGGAGCAGGAAGCAGAGGAGGAGGGGAGGAGGAGCAAGAGGACGAGCATGCGGATATGGCAGGAACGGAGGTGTGGGAACGGGAGGGGGAGGAGGAGGAGGAGGAGGAGGAGGAGGAGGAGGAGGAGGAGGAGGAGAAAAGGGAGGAGGAGGAGGAGGAGGAGGAGAAGGAGGAGCAGGAGAAAGAGGAGGAGGGGAATGACGAGTTGTCGTTACCAAGAGAGGGCGTAAAAATAATCTCATAAGAGAGAGTGAACATTGGCACACTATTGTGGCCATGTCGGCCTCGGGCGGACGCTTCCATGCCGTTGACGCGGCCGCCCATGGCGGCCTCGGGCTGAAAGGTCCCTATCGTGGACGCCGCCGTACGAAGAGAGGAGCGGGATGAGGTTGCGGAGGAGGCCTCATCATCCCCTCCCTCCTCCTCATGTTCTTGGTCCTCCTGCTTCGCCTCTTCATCCTCCTGTTATTCTGAGGGATGGACGCCCCCGCCATCCAGGCCAAACATTGCAGCCTGGGCACTCCTTCCTCGCACATCCCCTCATCGCTGATGCAATCGAGATGCTGGAATAAGGACCACGTTGGGCTCTGGAGGGGCGCTGGTTTTCGGGCCGTTCCAGGTCTGCGTCGGTGAACCAAGTCGTTGCGAGGATTGCTGGGGCCAAAACGCCCCATTGTGCATTACTGCGCGCTCCCTGTGATAGCACGATGGCTGTAATCTTCCGCCCGGTTTGCCTCCGCCCCCGCCCCCGCGCCCGCCCGCTGCTCCGTTCGTGAACGAACAACATATCCGTATCCACGGCCGCGACCCCGCGGAGACGGGACGTTATTTGGCGCATGCCCGGCGCGGAACGTATCCGTGCGACCGCGTATCCGCGGGATCGCGCCCCGGACTTCGGACCGCGGGGGCGCGGATCTGGGAACGGGGGTCGCTCGCGAGCCGTCGCCTCCTCCCCCCAGCGGCGGAGCGAGAGGAGGGCGAAGGCAGCGGCGCGCAGCGGCGCCCCCCGCTGGCAGGCGCAGCAGCGCCTGCTGGACGCCCTGCAGCTGGCCCCTCCCCGCCGCAGCTCTCTCTCGTTCTCTCTCGCTGGGCGGGCGGGCGGCGGGGGGCGGAGGAGCGCCGGCCGGGCGGCGCGCGGTCGGGCCCGTGGCGGCCCCCACGGGCAGGCAGGCACGGTCAGAACTTGGCCATGGCTTCGTCTTCCTTCCTTCTCCCTCCTCCTCCTCCGCCTCCTCCTCCGCCTCCTTGCTCCTCCTCCTCCTCCTCCTCCGCCTCCTTGTTCCTCCTCCTCCTCCTCCTCCTCCTTGCCCCTTCTCTCTCCTCCTCCTTGCTCCTCCTCTCTCCTCCTCCTCCTCCTCCTCCTCCTCCTCCGAGCGAGTTTCTTCGAAGTACATTGCTGGGCGCGCGTGCTTGTCGGCCGCTGGTGTTGCGGCTCAAGTCTAATTCAGAGGGCGGCGCATGGGAGTCATCTCTTTCCTTCGAGCCAAAGTTTTGCCATTCACCCTCAGTCAGTTGCCGCA